TATATATATATATATATATATATATATATATATATATACACACACTCTGGTCCTTTCATTCTTCTAAGCATCTATTCAGCCCTCCACTTCCTTCTGCTTTCTCCTTCTCTCCATCTGTATCCGTCTCTAGGAGGTGTCAGCTGCAGCCATATCAGCACTTTATCTGCTACGTTATGACAAGCTCTTATTGAAAGGGGATGCGGATGAACACAAACACGGATTCAGGAGGGCAACACCCAAATAAACTACCTGCTGACCAGTGGCAGAGGCATGGAAGGGAAAGGAGGGATTGATTGCTGGTCTGTAACCAAAACTGCTTTATCTTTAGTTTGTCTTTTGTCCTATAGGTCTGACAATTCATTCCTTTACTCTCTGTTTGTGTAAGTGCACGTTAAAGTGTGCCTAAGTTCTCGCTGGTGGTGGCGTTCTGCCCTAGAGGGGTGTGTGGAGGTCTGTATGGGGAAAATTGATCAAAGGAGAAAAGGGACCCTGGTGGGTAATGCTTCAGCGCTTAACCTTAGGTAATAGTGGGTTGATGGATTCAGTTCATTTTCAGCAGCAGATCCTGTTTATCAGCCCTCTGCTGCAGGCTAAAGCTCAGAGAAGAACAGCGGTCAATGTCAAATCTGAAAGCTGCTAAAGGAAACAAGGGAGACTTAAACTTTTAAAAGTTGCCTAATTTGAGTTAGATAAATTGCTGTTCAGAAGTATTTGCCCCTATTAGATATTCTTACTTATTTTTTGTCACACTGAAATGATTTAGATCATATAATAATATTTAACATGAAAATGAGTAACTTGTTTTAGAAATAAAGATTTCATTTACTGCGTGGAAAAAGGTGAACCACATCAATCTGGCCCTATGTGAAAAATTAATCACCTCCATATGTTTAATAATGAATTAACCTGACCTGAGGAATTCAGCATAAAAATAATCCCCTACTGAGTTCCTTAGATCCCAGATATTTGTGACAATTCATAGTTGGACTTGCTGTAACAGCCCAACATACAGTGGAAATAGCATCAAATACCTTCCATACATCCCACAGGAATTTAGCTGTGAGTTGCTGCAGTTTGAGGAAACTTATAGCTGAAAATATCTTTAACTAATCCCAAAAGAATAAAGCATATGACTCAGCTTTTGTTTTTCCTCACCAAGTTCCCTGCTGGTCCCAAAAGTCTCCCCATGAGGGGGTGAAAAGCCCAAAGGAACTGCTTTGTATTCAATGTAGAGTAATGGTAGAGCTGTGGGATATTTAGGCTTTC